CAGCTGGAAAATTTAAATATACAAGTTCTGTAGCATACTTTTTGGCCTAGATTCATAAAAACTTATAGCTACAAAAATTGTTACAAATAGCATGTTTAGTAAATCTTACAAATGAAGGTCATTATTTTGCTTTTGACAAAGCACTTGAAACATATGATATAAAATTAGTTAAGCAAAATATAACTAGTAATGTCTCTGACCAAGAGACTATAATATTGAAGATTAAGGCAGTTCAAAGTGAGAGAGAATGCCTATTAGTGCTTCTTGCAGAATATATTAACAACATTGTAATAAGCCAAAATGCTTGTGCAATCAAGTCACGTAAAGATTTGCTCTGGTTTCTGGTTGCAAATCTGTCTTTTGCTTTTGACAGTCTAGATCCTACAGCATATTATCTATTTGAAAATATACCAGAAATTAATAAAGAAGAAGTTAAAAATTTTTTTTTTTTTATAAAACTGGAAAATTACAGTTTCAAGAAGTGCTTGAGAAAGATGTGTACAAAACTAAGCTCCAAACTTCCAAATATCGTGTACAAAATATAAATCATTATACCTTAACTTAATTTGAGAGTATAAAAAACAAAACCATCATCAAGTAGACAATTTTATTCAAGAATCAATTTTTTAGCAAAATACTTAGCAAGCATCATTATCATCGTCTTCTACAACCAACTCTTTAAAACATTCATATTGTACTACTTCAGAAACAGAAAAAACAATACTTGCATCATTATTTGAACTTGAAGATACAATTCTTGAAAACGAAATCCAGAAAGTGCTAGTAGAGCTTTAGACATCTCTTTAGATTGGTCAGAGGAAATAATCAAGCAGTACTTGAGAAATAATATTCAAAAATAAATAGTATTAGATTATTATTCATATATAAAATAAATTCATTAAAGTATACAAACTTGCTTTTATTAAATCTAGAATTTAGCTATTATATCGTTAAACATTTCAATCTTTTGAATGAATCCTATTACTTTAGAATTTAAAAATTTAAAAAATAAAAATTATTAAAACTTTTCAGATCTTTAAAATTTCTTAAATACTATATCCTATTACATATAAGTGTCCTGGTTTAGTTACAAGATTCTACTTAATCATTTTTATAGACTCTATAGAGGGAAGTAAAGGTAAAAATAATCTAAATTAAACCCTCAATTTATCTTATAAAAAAGCATCTCTTAGCAAATACCTAAAACTCACAACTTAAGTGCTCTTAAACTAATAATAAAGTTTGTAATACTCTTTGTTTGCCACTATTATCGAAGTGAAGTTAACCTTATTGCACAATACCTGAAATAGAATTTTGATTAGTGTTAAAAAATTGCAATTTTTGAGTCTAATTTTATTTTATTAAAAATAAGATAATACGAATATTAATAGTACAAAATGAAAGCACAAAGCTCGAAAAATAAAACTTGTCTAAGGTCAAAATATCATTTACCAAAGAGGGTAAAAAAAGCCATATTGATATATGTTATATAAAAATTAAATTAATAAGAAAATCATTGAAGTGGACATGTTTCATGACTGCATCAGCAAAAATATATAAGTGTAAACTTTCGTAAGTTTTACAATATATAAGAAAATTGTAAACTTATGTAAAAATATTATGCAAATTTACGATTTTATTACGATGTATAAAAAAATTGTAAATTTATGTAAAAATATTACACAAATTTACGATCTTCTTACATACTGTAAAAACTTACGAAAGTTTACAGAAGTTTAAAAATATTTATAATGCACTATTCAAATTATAAGTTATAATGATAAATCACTTGATTTATATTTTTTTGTAACTTCACGAACTTATGAAATTTTACAAAGATTTAAATTGATTAATAATTTTTTTTAAATAAATCAATAGCAGGATGCAAACATGCAAAGCATTTTTCAATACAATGAAATAATTCAAAACTTTTTGTACTTTTTTTTTCTAAGACTTATTCAAAAATATAGCATGATGAAAACTTGTAAAGTTTTTTTTCAATACCACGAAATAATTTGAAACCTTTTGCACTTTTTTTCTTAGGCTCATTCAAAAATATAGCTATAAATGATGATCACTTGATTTATATTTTTTGTAAATTCATAAACTTATAAAATTTTATAAAGATTTAAATTGATTAATAATTTTTTTTTAAATAAATTAATAGCAGGATGCAAACTTGCAAAGCATTTTTCAATACTATGAAATAATTCGAACCTTTTCGCACTTTTTTTTTTTCTTAGACTTATTAAAAATATATACTATAAACAATGAATCTCTTGATTAATATTTTTGTAACTTTGTAAACTTACGAAGGTTTATAAAGATTTAAATTGATTAATAATTTTTTTAAATAAATCAATAGTATAATGAAAACATGTAATGCATTTTTCTAGTACTCTTCATTGAGCCGGCTCAATTAGGCTCACAGGAATTTTGGTTCGGCTTGTTTCTGGCTTGAAAGGCTCGCAAGCCTGTAGTACAAGTCATGTGACTTTTTATCATGTGATTTTCACGTGACTTTTCGGGAAAATCAGAATATTTTGGCCACATGAAAATCACGTGACTGCGTAACCTTGTATAACTCAATCTCTATGATTAATTAAGCTGCAGATTACGTCAAACTGATACCCCTTTTAAATTTTTATTTTTGAAGTTTTGAATCTTATACAGTAGAATATCTGAATCTTACTTATATATAAGTTTTTAGCGTGAGTATGATCATTTGTTGAAAGTTCTGAACCTTATATAGAGTATTTGAATCTTACTTATATATGTATTTTTTTTATCGGGAATTGGTTTTAGTGTGAGTATAATAATTATTCGTTGAAAGGTCTGAATCTTATAGAATATTTGAATATGTATTTTTTTTTTATTGGAAATTAGTTTTTAGCGTGAGTATGATTATTTGTTGAAAAGTCTGAACCTTATAGAATATCCGAATCTTATTTATATATGTATTTTTTTTTTCATCGGGAATTAGTTTTTAGCGTGAGTATGATGATTTTTTATTGAAAGTTTTGAAACTTATAGAATATCTGAATCTTACTTATATATGTATTTTTTTTCATTGGGATTTAGTTTTTAGTGTAAGTATGATTATTCGTTGAAATGTTTGAACCTTATAGAATATTTGAATCTTACTTATATGTATTTTTTTTTTTATTGGAATTTAGTTTTTAGCGTGAGTATGATTATTATTCATTGAAAGTTTAAAACTTATAGAATATCTGAATCTTACTTATATATATATTTTTTTTTTCATCTGGAATTAGTTTTTAGCATGAGTATGATGATTATTTGTTGAAAGTTCTGAAACTTATAGAGTATTTAAATCTTACTTATATATATATTTTTTTTCCATCAGATTTAAGTTTATCACGAGTATAATAGTTATTCGTTGAAAGGTCTGAACCTTATAGATATTTGAATTTTACTTATATATTTATTTTTTTTTTCATCGGGAATTAGTTTTTAGTGTGAGTATAATGATTATTCGTTGAAATATCTGAACCTTATAGAAAATTTGAATCTTACTTATATGTATTTTTTTTTTCATCAGGATTTAATTTTTAGCGTAAGTGTGATAATTATTCGTTGAAAGTTTTGAACCTTATAGAATATTTAAATCTTACTTATAGATAAATATTTTTTTTTCATCGGGAATTAGTTTTTAGCGTGAGTATGATGATTTTTCATTGAAAGTTTCGAAACTTATAGAATATCTGAATCTTACTTATATATGTATTTTTTTTTCATCTGGAATTAGTTTTTAGCGTGAGTATGATGATTATTCGTTGAAATATCTGAACCTTATAGAATATTTGATTCTTACTTATATATATATATATTTTTTTTATTGGGAATTGGTTTTAGCGTAAGTATAATGATTATTCGTTGAAAGGTCTGAACCTTATAGAGTATTTGAATCTTATTTATATATGTATTTTTTTTTTCATCGGGAATTGGTTTTTAGCGTGAGTATGATGATTATTCATTAAAAGGTCTGAACCTTATAGAATATCTGAATCTTACTTATATGTGTATTTTTTTTCCATTGGGAATTGGTTTTGTAGTAAGAGTGGTTATTATTGGTTAAAGTTTTAAATTTTTTAATGAATAATCAATTTTTTTAATGGCATTAACTTACGATTATTAATTAAAGTTTTTAAAGCAAAATTTATAAATACAAGAATTTATTTTTTTAATTGTTTTGGCGTAATTTTAGTATGATTATTATTAAAGCATTTTTAGAATGAATATTTAAATTGTATTATTTTTTGGTAGTACTTAAAGGATATTATTTTAATATTAAATAAAGCTATATTATTTAATCAAGATACTATAATAAAGTCTATATATTTAAATAATATTGATTTTTCTATGTTAATCCAACAAGTGATTGATATCAAGCTATTAAGATTTGCGAATATTACACTATATAAAAATACCGTCATAACATGTTATAAGATAGAAGGATTGTAACATGTAAATTAAAGTTACTATATATTGTATACAGTACAGTACACGGGTTCTTACTCAAGAACTCCAATTTAATTAATAGAACCATAAATACTATACATTACTGTGGTTATATCAATGATCTTCAAAAATAAAGAAATTGTCAGTCAGTTAGTTGGTTTAATTAGAAGTATATGTATATAGGTTCAAAATTTTAAAAAACATCATAATAGTTAGGTATATATTACTATATAAGATGACAATATAACCAAAGTGATGTGTAAAAATAAATTAAAAAATTGACATAATAATTTAATAAGAATTATGTAATAAAAATAAGTATATAAGTTTATATTAGTATTTATATATAATAAATTAATAGTATATTTTTATACAAATAAAAATTTTATTTTTTATTTTTTTGAATATTAATTTCAATATATAAAACTTTAAATTATTGTATATTATTATTAATTTTATATTTTATTTTGCTTTTAATAATTTTTTTAATAATAATATTTTTTAGAAATTACACAAATATGATATCAAGAGAAGATTCTTTTATGTTAGTTGATGATCTAAATGAAGAACCAAATTCAAATAATCAAACAAGTACTCCAGGAGTTTCTAATTGTAGATCTCCAGCTGATCCTCATTTTGAATTTATTGATTCACGTTGGAAATGCAAATATTGCTCGTAAACTATTTACTTAATATTATAAATATATATATTTATTTATTTATTTACTTATTTATTTATTTTTGAAACATAATAATTTAAATATTAATATATTTAATTTTTAGTACATCTTATGAAAATAGACATACATCAACATTTTTAAAACATTTAAGAAACAAGCATAAAGAAAAACTTAGAGATACATCAAATTATAATCCTGAAGTATTGTATAATTAAAATTTTAAATTATATTATATATCTAAATTATATTTTTTAAAATATCAATTTTATTTTTAGTTTAAAGATGATGAATTTAGAAAAAAATTATTAAAATGGATTGTAACAGATGATCAAGCATTTATGACACTTGAAAATTCCAAATTTCAAGATATGTTAAAATATTTGCAACCTAATCTTCAAATTCCAACAACTACTACAATTAGAAGAGATTTAGATAAATGTTACGATAAAACAAAACAAAAATTAGTCGAAAATTACAAGTAAATTATTATTAATTTTAAATTAATTTTAAATTATAATACTAATTAATTTAATTTAATTTTTATAGAAAATTCCTGGTTTAATTTCATTTACTATAGATTGTTGGACTAGTAAAAATCAATTACCTTTTTTTGGAATTTCTATTTATTGGATTAGCAATGAATGGACTTTATAATTGATCGTTTTAGATTTTTGTTACTTACCTGGTTCACATACTGGGAAAAATTTAGCTACAAAATTTTTGGAAGTTTTAAATAACTTTTATATTAGCAATAAGATAAAATATTAATTTTTTTTAATTATTTAAATATTAAAAATTATTAAATTCTATTTTTTTTTTTTTAGTTATTAGCAATTACATGTGATAATGCAGCTAATAATAATAAAATGCTTAAATATGTTGAAGATGAATTAAATAATCGAAATATAAATTTTGATTTAAATAATCAATATATGAGATGCTTTGCTCACATAATTAATTTAGCAGCAAAAAAAGCTATTGAACAACTTTATATCAAACATAATTTAAATACTAATGATGAAATTTTAAAAGATAAATTTTTGTAGAGCACTCTTCCCGTAGATCACTTTACCAAATTAGAAACAAGAAGAAAAAATTTTCCCGTGACATTTTCTCGAAAACTTACTAAGTAAATTGATATCCAGCTTTTAAGTAAAGTTATCTAGCACCTCGCAAACTACTTAAAAGAGGTGCAAATTTTGTTAAAAGACTCCACTACAACAAGTTAGTAGCAATAAACACCCAAAACAGCAACAAAGCAGTTTTTTAATCCTTTCACGAAAGCGATCTCAAGGACTCTCAACTTTCACATAACCCAAAAGATTTTACAGATAGTACTCTAAACAAAAACAGTAAGCAATTTCAAGTTTTATATCATACTAAGCCCCAAGACTCTGACAAAAACATGGCCTCCAAAAGCTCTTCATTCTACTGGAATATTTTTTCCTGGAACACCAAGGTCGCTCAACCTGAAAACACCCCTACTATTAGCTCACCGCTAGATTCTAGTGTAGAACACACCAAAAAATTTTTAAACATAACTATTAAAGATTGGTTTAAACTCACATTCTCTGTTAGCTTCTCTGTTCCTAAATACGCCGACTTTTTTGTTTTCTATATTGATATTACCAAATTTGGAAAAATTTCTAACTTGACCGACTACTCTCCACAATGGTTATGCAAATATAAAAATCTTGCCCAATCAGTTTTTGTTTGATCTTACATTGCAAAAAAGTAACATTATTAATATTAGTGCCAAACTTCCAAAACCTACTTGAAATAGTGATCTTGTAACAATCACAAACCTATACGAAGCTAGTATGAAACTCTATTCAAAAGCCAGAGATACAAAAAACTTAGCCTCAATCCTGTACAATGTAATTACAAACCTTGATTCAGATAATGAATTCAATAGAAGCTACAATGAGCAGATTGTACATACAGCCTCTAATACCAATCCTAGCTCCTTACAAGACATGAACACAGGTTATACAGACACCAGTATGAGTAACAATACTACAAATCTTGTGCTATCTACAAACAAACCCCCTAACACCAATACAGTACCCAGGCCTAGTACATCTACCAATCAGATTACACAGCCCATATTCTTTGCATCTGGTTCTAACTACACCCCAGCAGTCCCCAGCTCTAGAGCTAATCACAAGAGATCAAGAGATTTATCTAACATATCTCCACTTGCTATAACTCCTCACAAAGCTACTAAAGCTCTACCTAATAACACTGCTAAATCTACTGGTATACAAGCTAGTACATCAACAACTACTACAAGACCTACTTTAGCCAAGTTACCCAAACAAACCTTAATTTACTTAAAACAAAGACCCTGGAAGATGAAATGGTATAGGCCGATGAAGTATATCTCAAAACTGTCACACCTATTAATACACCCTTCGATACCAACTATTGGATAGTTAAAAAAATCGCTAAAGCATTTGAAACTCCTAAAGGCATCTATGAACTTACTAGCTACAAGCTTGTTACTACTCCAATATAACACAAGCTCCCTAAAGCAATTGCACTTAAGTTTACTCACCAGAATACCAGGTTCTTTACTACTTTCATGTATAACCTCAAGACCACCCTCGCACACCAAAAAGAATACAATTAGATCTTCAACAGGGCCTTAGCAGCATATAAACATGATCACGAAATTACACTTACTAATACTGCTATCTGTGATACTATTCATACAATGCTTAGAAAGTGGCTTATAGCCCAGTACCTTTTAAACCTTAACTTCAATAGAACTACCTACAGGGCATATGCAGTCCTATTCGGTATGCTAGAGGCTTCCTAAAGATCAAGAACACCAGTAAGCAAGCCCCTAGAAAAATTAGAGCTCAAATTAATAGAGCACTTGAAAATAAGCTCATCCTATTACCAGACACACCAGAGGAAATATCTCAAGAGGTTCAGAAAATCCTACTTTTTCAACTTTCTATCAAACTACGATCATATACCAAAGTCATAGTAAATGCCCTAAAAAGAATCTACAAATTCTCAGAGCTCCCTGATATATATTTTGCCAAACTTCCTCAGCTACCACACTACCATCCAACTTACGCCAATTGTTTGCTATCTCACATAGGTCCTTATTTCAATATCTCACTATGTACAAAAGAAAGCTTGCAGATTCATATACTGTCACCAAGATCCCAGATTCATACTTTGATCTACCACCCAAAAAGATACCTCTTCCTACAACATACCAGGAGCTTAATCATAAAGTCCAAAAATTCTTTCCTTTTAACCAAGCTACTTCACTCATACCTCTGGCCAATGTTGTTTCCCAACTAAGAGAATTCTATACATTCAAGCTACTACCAAATGACTTCTTTATAGTCAAGCCCTCACTTCCTACTAATATTAGCAAGATTAGAACTAAAACTACTTTCAACTTTCCAATTACAAATGATGCAGAGGCCAAAGAGTTTATCAGGCAAATTTCTCCCTATTACAAAGTTCAATTCTCTCTCCCTACCACAATTATGTAAGCAAATCCTACTAACAAACCTGCTCTGCCAGATGCAGAGGAAATTACTAAACTTTATAGCATTACCTTTCCAATTACATCTATACAAGAACTCACAGCTACAGCTAAACTCCTTCGCAAATGCTACTACTTCTCTTAGCTTCCTGCAAACTAGATTTAGATTAGCAGTAGTCCTCTAACTGACTCTGAGAGTACCAACCCAAGGAGTCAGCATACTCTCCCTAGTATTCCAAAAGACATTGAAGAAATTATTAAGACCTTGTCCAGAGAAAGTTATTGTTTTACTTCTAATCAAAAAACAATCTGATATTATCTCGACTATGTAAGCTCTTAAACAGTTCTACATAATTAAAAAGATTCCAGACTTCTTAGTAGACCTCCCTCCTCTCCCAACTCCAGCTTGAGGAATATTTAGCTATACACCACCACCATCTACTCCAACTACTCCCAGCATAGTACAGTCTTTTGCAGAGGCCCAGGTATCTATCCCAATACCTATGGTATAGGATACTGCTACTATGACCCCTCGTTCTAATAATACTTTAGCAGCACTTTTAACTCTAGCTAAAACTGTACCCAACAATAGCAACAACACCTCCCTGCCAAACAATCCTGATAACTCTTCACCATTGGACAAACCAACTCTAATAGATACAAACAAACATCCAAATAAGTAACTTACACACTGCACAAGTACAAACTATACAATCCAATCTACCCCAATACATGCAAGCACAAACCTCTCAATCCTCCCCACTCCAGCCACTCATACTCTCAATTTGTATACACAATATACAAGGATTTAACAATGATACCAAAAAAGAGACCTGGGAATAGTATTGCCTACAACAAAATTTAGATATTATCAGTATTATGGAACCCAAACTCTCAAACGAGCTATTCCCATGCAAACGATACAAAACACAGTACTACACATATCTCTGGTCATGCACAGATAGCTCAAAAGTAGGAATAGCTATAATGATCTTGCTCCTTATATTCATAGCATTAGTCTAGTCCCTGGATATGCTATTGCAATTGATCTCTTTTTAGCAATGATGCACAACTTCATCTCCAGACCCAAAACACTATAATTCAATGGCTCTAGCAGGCCAAAGTAGCTGGTATTCACCCAATAACTCTAGGAGATTTCAATGCATCTATAGACAATATCCACTCACAGGCTATTAAGTACAAACTTCTTCAATATCTAGCATATAATAACATGTATAACCTAGCTGCACACTCAAACAAATTAGCATATACCTGGCACAGAGCTAATCATAGTAGTGAGATCGACTTTATCTGGACCTATTAACCAATTCTCCAATACCTTACAGATTATGATACAGATGACTCTACTACCAGTACTCAAAGTAATCACAAAATTCTCATTTCACAATAGCTCTTTCCCTTTGCACAAACAGGACAGTAAAGACACAAAACCTGTACCCAGAGACGTATCTTTAATTACAAAGCAATGAACTAGAAAAAATGAGAAGACTTTGCAAACCAAGTTACTTTAAACCTAAAGTGGCACAATACACCTCTCTTGCTACCTGTTTCTGAGTCCCTTGAAACTACTTGGCACAAAATTCAAACCAGTGTAATCACAGCAGCACTCTAGCACATCTCTAACAAAAAATTTGCTGTACGCAACTTCTAGTATACATTTTCACCTAAAGCAACCCAGCTACATTATAGTTTTAAAAAGCTTGGAAATGTTATAAGAATAGTTAAATATACTATTAAGACCAACCAGGAGGCCCCAGGTCACCTTGAAACAACTATAGCCCAACTTAACAGCACACATGAACTAGAAATATCTTCTCTTACATACATTACAGAATGGATAACAAAAGTTAATACTGAATAGAAGAAGCTCTATCACATGTGTAATCTTGAAAACATTAGGCTAACACGTTAACAAATTACAAAGGCAATTACAAAGAGGTGTACTAAGCT